TTATTAAGTTAGTTATTGATTCTTGATATTTGCTGGTGGTGTATCAATGTGTGTAGAAGAATCCGCTGATGATATGCCGGCCATGCGGAATATAGCCTCAACATAGCTGGCTCTCAAGTGTCATATGTTTGACTCCATTTGTAGTAGGAAGCAAAGTTTCTGCTTAATCCTATTATGCCTCTACGAGACTTTGCATGTCTTTTTATTATTTGCTTAATAGTTATATTAACAGCATAAAAGGAGCCAGGCACATTGGATCTGCTTACACTGAATCCGTTATTTTGAAGAAGCTTTCTTGATCCAGGGTGTGTTGAATCAATTTATCAACATAAGAACACAGATAGATATTTTACATAGTTTTGATGATCATATGCAAAGAATAATTGAAGCATATTTTATTATGTTGATATGTAAAGGTCAAGATCATTTTCCTTCGTTGCTCTCATAAAGCGAAGAACCAACCAAATCTTAACAATAAATCCATTCAAAACGGTACCGTCTTCCCTAAGTTACCTTTTCTGACGTCTTCCTTGAACTCGACACATCTTGTAAAGTTCAATGACAGTTTCATTAGCAAACACATATTCAAGGTGTTCACGTCTTTGATTCTCAGATAGCACATTTAACGCTTGGTTGATATCTTTCAATGCACTAGGGTTGTGGATTTGGATAACTGCTGATACAAAATCTTCAAAAAGCAGTATTTCAAGAGCTTCAACTGTTAACACATTAACACAATCACTCGACCCTATCAGGATTTCTGAGAAACCACTTCCACACAAACGTTTGCCAATCGCCCCTAGATATGAACCTAGCAAACGAAAAGCCCCTAAATATATGATAGTATCACTGTACTTGGTCGGATTTTCCATAGTATGTATGCCTTTTACAAAGGTCACAAATATGTACTGTTGGTTTACAGCTCTTGAAACACTTGAAATTTCTAGTATTTTCTGAACAGTGGCATTTTTGTACTTTGGGCATTAATAGGACGCATGCCCTTTTCTGTAGAGGATGTTTGATCTTGCAACTCAGAGTTTAGACAGATCCAGCCAGCCCAACTTGGAACAATCTGCTTGTCATGTACACATGAACGAGAGAAAGTCAGATGAAACAGCAAAACCCGAAACATTTCCTTTGTCGAAACTTATAAGTATTGATAAACGGTTCTTATTTCCCGGTTATTAAGCATTAAGTCAATTCTTCAGGATTGTATTTAACAGTGCGTGCCTAAGTCGCCTGTATATTTGATATATTAGTTAGGGTGTTTGTTCTCTTTTAGTGTCATCATCATCATCATCTTACGGCTGTTCTCTTTCTTGAATGACAATTCCGTGTGCACTATGGGTTGTTATTTAGATGGAAATGGTCCCAGCACAAATGTGTTATCAAATTGCTTTTTGCAGAAATTGTATCAGGGATAACAATGTCCCGATCAAGAGTATTGTTACATAGTTTCCAACTCCAAAATCTGAGAGTATGACTGACAATGTCTGAAATGATTGATTAGACAAAGTGTCTTATGCTGTCATATGCCGTGTTGCATTTCAGAAAAGATTTAATCAACAAAATCACTCTAAATCAAATGATTTTATGGGAGAAGCATACTATTATGTTGTCTGCCTTTTTTCTTAGTGCTTAGTGAGAGTATATTAAGTTTCTAGAGAGGACAAAAAGTCAATATTCGCATGAAATTCAATTAAAAGTATCTTATCAAACTCTAAAGGCAGCTCAAATCGACCTCTAACAATTATGGTTCATATCTCTATTTAATTGAAATAATATTCAAGAGCAGACTATTTAGAATTCTACCTAGCATAGAGTTAGTTTCGCTAAGCATATCATAAGAAATTAATAATTACATCAAACTCTTTATAAATGGGTATAAACACATTAAATATAGTTATGAATTATCTGTTCAATAACTGGCAGCCATTTTAAAATGGCGGATGCCATAAATTATGTTGTTTTTTATGTTAAAACTTAAAACTTTTTGTATAAATCATAAAACATATAATAACAACCCAAAACATTGTTTAGATCACAAACTTACTCCGTCATAGAGAAGATATCTGAAGAAATCTTATAAAACTTATATAGAAAAAATATGACTAAAGGGGAGATAATCAACTTGTTCTATTAGACTTATGGTAAACATTTCACCTAAACAACAAGTGCCAATCGGTATCACATACCCTAAAGCTTCAAAACTATATAGCTGTACAAAAATACCCAAAGGAGGGGGGGGGGTTAACGGGGGGGGGGGTATGCTTGCCCTGCGTCTAATTACCAGAACCATTTTTTTTCTGAATGCATTTTGACATTTAGTGCATTTATAGTGATTTATATATCGTATATAATAATTCGTATGGACTTCAGAATAATTTGTTTACAATTGTCTACTTTTATGATTTTTTCTCACATTAATGCTTCTTTTTGAAGGTTTCTAACATGCTCTATAACTGTTATTTAAACTATTAATTCTCGACTTTTGCTTGGCGGGGTCTCAGGGCGAAAACACGTATGGCACAAATCAGCCACCATGTTTGCCAGTTTAAAATCATGAATGAAAAATATATGTTTTTTAGCCATTATGTGCATTTTAACTTTTAAACAAACAGAAATATGCCAACCCTTTTGTTTTTTAAAATGGTTTATTTTTAAATTCTCTTTCAATAGAAATACAAATGAGACATACAAAGTACAACGATAATAGATGTAAAATGTAGGGCCTTTTCAGCTAATCCGTAGGTACAAACAAACTTTTAGCGTTATGGCTAAATGTTTCACTATCTGTCACAATATAAACGTCAACCCATTGTTCTTATTTTCGAAGCTGTAACTGTTAAACATTGTTTAACTGGGAAAAACTCAAATACTCTTAATTCTGGAGTAAACCTTTTGAATAAATTCAATAAATCGTCTTGTTTTCTTAACAAAGTACAGAAATGTATCATTCATAAATTTGGAGAACGGCAATTGTACAGCAAGTACTCGTTATAATGTATTCATATACTTGATAACTGTAATCAAGTTGTCAATAGCGACTTTCAATGATCTTTTATAAATAGTGAGGGATTCTAAGGGTAAGTAATTGCTCTTTTTATCCACCTGACATATAAGTTGTAGACCCGGTATGATTTAGTCTATTTATGGACGGTAGTGGCAATTGCAATTTACCGCCACGCCCGCTTCACCGGCTTTAGCAGTATTCGAATTCAACATTTTAACATTACAAATGGTGAAATAAGAAATTCAAGTTTTCGTAAACCAATGCCATTTAGTTTATTTTCCTGTATCATTCATCATCAATGATGTAAGTGATGGCGTGTTTTTATAAAAAAAAACCAAAGAAAAAAGTAAACGCTGGTTACAAAATGATCCACGTAAGTTCTGCTTCGCTCTCTCTTTCCGTCATCGAGATGTATCTCTCAAATACTGAATCAACAGTTGTACCAGTCATTAAGTTAGTAGGCATAAAACGTTAATGCTAATCGATGCTCAAAAACTTATAACTATCTATACATTTATGCATGTATTGTGTCATTTTAATAGACTGAAACTATATATGAACAGAACAATTTTTTTGAGACTTGTACATTATACATCGTAATGAAAAAAGATAAACAAAACAATGTTTACATCATGTGAAAATGAATAAACAAAGAAAGCAATAAGATAATGAATCAGATAAGGGGGTATTGATATATATCATTATACTATAATTATGTAATAGATTATGCGCTTTTTATTTTAAACAATATTTGAAATCCGTCACAAGTTGAAATAAAAACAAAGTACATATCATATATGTAAGAAAAATAAATACAGAGCTTTTTATTCATTTGATATAGTTATGCTGTTCAAAATTTTAAATATAAATAAATATTCTGAATTGAATGAAATATGAATATGCAAAACTCTAAATCCCATTTCTTTTTGAACAACCCTCGTAGATTGCAGATATGCAAACTTGATGAAATTTTTGATAACAGCCAGCTAGCAGTACATTATTTAAAAGGCTTGATACATAAAGGTCAGTGAGGTTAAATGGTTCAAACCGTCTTAAGGTAACAATATTAACAAGGTTAAATTCTGATGCTGTTTTATGATTTAAATTATTTCCCTCCAACAGATGCAAGCTCAAACATATATTAAGATACAACAACAACTTTTCATCAAATACGTCTGTTTCCTTGTTTCAAATAATTCTGAAATTTTACTGTGAAGGATAGGGATAAAATATCGATTTAAACTAGATTGACAGTCACGGCTACCATTAAATTTTCTTGCCTTTCATCAATTATGTCTGAATCTCGACAGGGACTTTAATCCCTCATTGAAAAAAATATCCATTCTGCTTATGGTCGTTCAGTGATTATATTCATGTACATGCTCGACCTTGAAATAATGTACGAAGAGGCACTGGTATCTTACTTTAACAGTAATGAGTGATACATTTAGCTACTAAGATCTTTGGCAAGTGAAAAACATATAACTCTTTATAAACATTCGGTATGGTGAATATCGATCATTACTTATATTAAAAACGTTAAGTAGATATTTGACATCTCATATATACCTGTGAGGACGTGATCGTGAGTAAAACTAGGCATTGTGTACGGTTCGTTTCCTTTATTCAAACTGAATGTTTACATACATAGGAAATGACGTAACGTTAAAAACATAAGTAAACAATTCGCGCAAAAGCGACGTTACGTGACGTCGCGCCAAATCTACAACATTCTCCGGGCCTCAGAAATGCTAAATGTAATAATCGTCATACAAAAACATAAAGTAATGGAATTACTTATTTAAAATCATATTGAAATTGAGCACCATAATTAAAACAGCTATATTTAGATATATCACAAACAGATTGGCGCTATGTAAAGTCTCGTTTTGAATTATTTTCACTCGTCTATGTTTATACAAATTGAATTGTCTTTTCACGAAATATTAGCGGTATAGGATAAATATTTCAATAAGTATCGTAATGTCTATTCATCTGGTTTCTGGATAATTTCCAATGGGTACAATTTGATAATCGGTCGGGTAGTCAGCCCTCCGGATGTACGTATCCTCGCGGCCCTCGAAAACCCGTCATTTCCCGTTAAAAGTTCATCAACTACCGCAAGGCTCCACTGTAGCCTGGGTGTAAAGTCGTCTTGGACAATAACAACGTCACCAACCTGAATAGTCTGGTTTGTGGTACCACTCGACCGTTGGTATTCTCTTAATGACGTCAGATACTCGTGTTTCCAGCGGTGCCAATAGTGATTAATTAACTCCTCACGTCGTTTAGCACGTTGTCGAACATCGTCACCTTTGCTGTGGTAACCGGGAGTATCGTTGGTTACCACAGTATCGTAGAATGGTAGAGTTGTCAGTCTGCGTCCATGTAGTAAGTGTGAAGGGGTGAGAGGCTCTGGATCATCTCTAGCAGATGAAACGTAGGTAATTGGTCGATCGTTCATCATTGCCTCTACTTCGGTAACTATCGTCTGCAGCGTTTGCAAATTAATGGAAGCTTTGCCGAGAACTTTCTTAATCGCTGTTTTCATTACACCAATTAGTCGCTCCCACATTCCACCATACCAAGGTGCTCTTTTTGGAATAAACTGCCAATGTGTTCCTCTTTGTGTAAGGGCAGTATGAAGATTTTGTGAATTATAGAGTCGCCGGATTTGATTGGCTGCTGCATGAAAAGTGGTACCATTATCAGATATCATAAGTCTTGGTAATGATCGTCTGCTGATGAATCGTCTGAAGGCTAACATAAATGATTCTTCTGTAAGGTCTGGAACTATTTCTAGATGAACAGCACGGGTTTTGGCACACGTGAATAGACATATGTATACCTTCTGCTGAACTTTCTTTTCTTTAATGTAAAGGGCCCCTGTGAAATCGACACCTGTTACGGAGAAGGGTGGTTCGATGATTACTCTGGAAACCGGAAGTGGTGGGGGGTCTGGGGCGGTATAGGGTCTTCCTGTAACTTTTCTACAAATGACACATCTTCGGAGAACACTTTTCACGTGCTGTCTGATTGATGGTATCCAGTATTTCTGGCGTAGATGGGTAACAGTATGGGCGACACCTGCATGTAACTGATTGTAATGAGCGTCTTCTATTATCAATCTGGTGACATGACTCTTTGGGGACATAAGGAACGGGAATCTTGTTGTCTCTGGCAACTGTGCGTTATGTATTCTTCCGCCACAACGAATACAACCGTCCTTGTCTAAATAAAGTCTTAGCTGTCGAATTATTAGACTGCGTTTTTTCTGGGATTTAAGATCTTGAATTACGTCTGGGAAATATTGTTGTTGGCAAGTTTCAATCAGTTTTCCTTCTGCTAATCTCAGCTCTTCTGTAGATAATGGACAAATTTGGCGATAATTATACGTCACTCTACAGTTTTTAGTGAAACGTATAACGTATGCCGTAACACGTAATAACTTGTGAAAGCTGCTATATCTGTTTAACTCTAGAATTTGACGTAAACCAGAGTTACCTCTCTTGTCAGATACAATTTCTTCCTCTGAATGTTGTTCCGTAAACGTAGTGAAAGTGATTGCCCTGGTTTGTTCCAAAGTAGGCCATTTATTGTTGTGACTTAACCAAGTAGGTCCATTTTTCCATAATGTGCTTGATTGTAACTGGGTCGCAGTTAGACCTCTGGTTTGTAAATCAGCGGGATTTTGATCTGTTGGACAATATCGCCATTCAATATCGGGGGTAAGTTTCTTGATTTCTTCGACTCTGTTCAAAATGAAGCGTTTAAGTGTTTTTGTAGATTTCAGCCAACTTAACACTATTTGACTGTCGGACCAACATGTGATTTTCTTGCACGTGAATACATTTGACACGTGGTGGGTTACACGTGCACCGATGAGTGCTGCCATCAGTTCTAGTCTGGGTAAAGTTATCTCTTTGACAGGTGCGACTCTATTCTTTGCAAATACAAGGGTAGATGTATGACCGGAAGTAAGATACGCTACAGCTCCATAAGCACGTGCACTTGCATCAACAAACACGTGTAAATTAAAATCGGCGGAATTTGCTGTATTTTCAGTGGTGGGAAAATATGGTCTCTGGAACTTGGTCTGAATTACGCTGTTCAGGTCGATGCTCAAATCAGCCCAGGTGTTAATGATATCAACCGGAAGTGGTGTGTCCCAATCAAATTTCTTCTTCCATAGGTCTTGAACTAGTAATTTGGCGCGTACAGTTACTGGGCTAAGCAATCCCAGAGGGTCATATAATTTTGAAGTCTGTTTGAGAATAGAACGTTTGGTTGTTCTCTCAGAGTTTACTATCGTGCGCTGTACAAACGACATCTCGTCATTATCCGGGTCCCATAACATTCCTAATACCTTGACAACTTTATCCTTGTCCAAGACTTTTTCAGCTAGTGCGAGTTCACATAATTTACTGGAGTTTGAAGTCCACGATCGCAGATTGAATCCTGCTTCGGACATGAGAGCACGTGCGTACCGGAAATAGGTAAGAAGATCCTGTTCTTGTTGAAAACTTGAAATTACATTGTCGACATACAGGTCTCTGGTAATTATATTAGCGGCAGGGTTACTTGCATTCAGGGTCATGTGTTTTAGTAATGTAGCGTTGAGAATAAATGGGGAACATGTGGCTCCAAAAAGGACAACTCGAAATCTGTATGTCACAAGCTGGCTTTTGGGATCTGTAGGGTCAGATAACCATAGAAATCTGGTAGCATCTCTGTCATCCTCGTGTAGACCGACATGTAGAAAGGCTTTCTCTATGTCAGTTGATACTGCATATCTACCAAGCCGAAATCTTAACAGAAGGGTGGTTAGATCATTCAGCTCTGGAGGTGTGGATTCAAGGCAATCGTTTAAACTTGGACTTCTTTCTGATTGGCGGCAACTACAGTCATAGACTATTCGTATGGGCGTTGTTGTGGAATTCTTTTCAACTCCATGATGTGGTATATAATGCACGCGTTTTGCTCTGGAACTTTCGTCTACTCTTTCAATGAAACCTCTATTTTCTTGTTCCTGTATAATATCGTTATATTTCATCAACATTTGGGGCTTCTGACTTAGGCGTTTTATTGTACATTCTGTTCTTTTCTTCGTAATGTTATAGTTTGAAGGGAGGGGTTGATGATTCTGTTTCCATGGCAACTTCGCTGTGTAATTTCCGTCTGAGAATGAAATACACGATTTCTGGTACTGTTGTAGATAAGAAGAGGCATCGGTATCTTCACAGTCTCCTTTTGAAACACCCATTGATTCTATATCCCAAAATCGAGTGAGGTCTGTCGTTTCAGATACGTGGGTTGCTATGACTTCCATAACATTGGAAGGTGGATAACTACTCTCTACATGAAGTGGGCCGGATAAGAAGTAACCAATGCGGGAACTTACAGCAGTGGGTCCATCACCTCTAATAATTTTGTCGCCAACTATCTGCCAGTAAAAATCAGCACCAATTAATAGTGATATATCGAATGTGGTATCCATGGTAACAGGGTGAGCAAGTTTGAGTCCTTGTAGATATTTCAAGTGTTTGATGGAGTTGCGATATACATTATTGATGGGCTTTGCTATCACGGGAACAATCAATACTCGGATTGGGATTAACATTCCGTCGTCTGCTACTAAATTTATAGTTGCCGTATTGAGATGTTGAACGCTGTGCGCTGGGTCGCCGAACGCTGATAAATGTATAATATCTGTTCCATCAATATTCAATTGAAGTTTATCGGCTAACTTTTGGTTGATAAATGATCTTTGGGCTCCTTCGTCCATAAGAACATTTGCTTCTGCATATCGTCCATTAGCACAAACAGGGGCTGTCGCAGTTTTTAATAAAACATCTGAGTGGTGGGTTTTTGAAAATAATATAGTTGTATCACCGGCTTCAATATTAGTACTCCAGTTTCTATAACTTCCGGTTACCTCAGACTGTTGTGTTTCATGATTTCCTATGACGGGCTTATTTGTGTAGTTCTGGGGAAATGTCGATTGGGAATGGCTGCATGTACTAGTATGATGTTTACCATGACACTGGCGACAACGCGACTTGGACGGACATCCAGACACTTGGTGACCTTTACTCAGGCAGTTAAAACACAAATGTTTTAACTTTATGATTTGAATGCGCGATTTCACATCACTTACTTTCTTACAGTCTCCCATATGTATTTCATCACAGTAAACGCACTTTTTCTTTGAATGCTCAGTCCGGTATAATGACTTCCGGTTGTCTCTATTTCGTGCGGCGGTATAAAATGATGCTGTTGGTATAAATCTTTCCTGTTTAATGTTCTGTGACTCTCCCGCTTCCATAATTTCAATCTCTCTGTTTAGTGATTTGCGTAAGTCTGGAAGCGTCCAACTTCCGGTACCATGTTCCCTAGCTAAATGACGTCTGGTTTCCGGTGGTAGTCTTTCAAGGATTATTGGGATTAATAGATTGCCATATGTATCTTGTAGTTCACCTAATGATTCTAAACCCCGGATGTTTGTCTCAAGCATATCGTAAAATTGACGTAATTCTCGAATATCGTCTGCTGGTGTTGGTAACTTCAATAATGTCTGCATATATGCGGAGGTGATTTTTTGTTTCTGTCCGTAGCGCTCTTTTAATAAACACAATGCCTGACTGTAGTTTGCATTCGTTAACGCGAACCCATCAATAGTTCTTGCAGCATCTCCCTCTAGCAATGACTTCAGGTAACTGAATTTCTGCACGTCTGTTAAACTGGGATTGTTGTGCACTGATGATTCAAATGAGTCCCAAAATGTCTGATACGTCAAGAGATCACCACTAAATGTCGGCATAGAAATTGTTGGCAACTTGTGATGAAATGAATTAGACAGCGGTATGCTGGTTCTGTCTCTAATGTAGTCCATCTGCTCGCCGTGATTGCTGGATGATGGTTCTGTTCGTGACGAGTGATTGATATTGTCTCTGTCTACTTCTATTGTGGAATCTGATAAAACATGGAATTTGTTATATTTCTGTAGTTGACGTTTTACACGAATGTTGTACATAGCGGTTTCCTTCACCTCTTCTGCTGTATTTTCTGTATCAATCTTGTTTAAAATGTCTGCATCAGTACTCGCTAAAGAAAGCATAATGTTTTCGATTGTTTTTATGAGAAGTTGAACATCTTCTATATTATTTTCTCTGAATGCATCTTCGATTTCCTGCAAATGTTCTGCTATAGTAGCTCTGTGGCCCTCTCTTACTGCTTGTAGTTTATGAAGATTCATGGTGGTTTCGGTTCACGGCACCATAAAATGTGAGGACGTGATCGTGAGTAAAACTAGGCGTTGTGTACGGTTCGTTTCCTTTATTCAAACTGAATGTTTACATACATTGGAAATGACGTTACGTTAAAAACATAAGTAAACAATTCGCGCAAAAGCGACGTTACGTGACGTCGCGCCAAATCTACAACAATACCAATCTCACAAAATAACATCGTCATGATAAAACAAATGCCAAAATATGTTTCGTGAAGTCGACATATTTTAATAACTTTTCTTATTACTATAAAATGTAGCCCAAAAAACTTTCAGATTCCGGTTCCTTTGTCCTAATTACTAAAACATGACTTTCTTCTACTGCTAAAACAAACTATTATCTCAAATGTAATATTTACTTTCAAATTGGATTACTTTCTAATTGAAGTATTTTTTAAAAAACCTTATTAGCTTTTCTTAAGATAGATCTCAATGTTACCTGGATAGTAATTGCGTCAATTTTAAAGGCAATAATAAAGGCTACTACCACTGGTGTATGCAATATCAAAGAAGTGGCTAAATCCATGAAACGATATCAAAGTAATATTCGTATGATAGACTGTACCTTATGAATAAAATTTAGATGTTTATATAATAAATTACGATTTATTATCAAGATAATGTGCTATGCATGTTCAATATATGTCTAATGTGTATGCTTATCATAAATCAAATATAATATAAAAGGTTAACATATTGAAGAAAATGTTACATACACCAAATTATTTTACAAACAATTACAAACACTTGTTGAAAAATAAGAATATAACAGTTACTTACTTTTTTGTCACATTTTGTTAGGACAAAACTGCTTGAGTAATTTATTATACTCAAAATTCAGAATGTTATGTTTGTTTTAAAGAATGAAAGTCTTTGCATTTTCACCCTTTTAATTTTTTAATTTATATATAACTGTAAATTGTGATGATATCAATGACTATCTTAAAATAGATAAATACAGAATCCCTAAAGAAAGACCAACACGGCAAAATTGAAAATGTTGCAGGCTCGGTTTGATTGAGCCTGTTCATGGACGGTACTGGAAAGTGCGAGTTACCGTCCACGCCCCCTAGCACCGGCTTAAGCAGAATTCAACATTTAAACCAGATTCGAACTTATTTGGATGATAGTAATTAAATTACATACTATTAAGTAATTAATTAATTGATGAATAATTAATGAAAGTGCAAGTTACCGTCCACGCCCCCTAGCACCGGCTTAAGCAGAATTCAACATTTAAACCAGATTCGAACTTATTTGGATGATAGTAATTAAATTACATACTAATAAGTAATTAATTAATTGATGAATAATTAATGAAAGTGCAAGTTACCGTCCACGCCCCCTAGCACCGGCTTAAGCAGAATTCAACATTTAAACCAGATTCGAACTTATTTGGATGATAGTAATTAAATTACATACTAATAAGTAATTAATTAATTGATGAATAATTAATTAATAATTAATGAATATACAAATCACCCTTTCATATATTAAGACTAATCAAAGCAATTTTTTTGCATTTAAAACATATTCAAAAGAATAATACACATTAAACATAAACCAATTTCAACTGACCTTCTAATGTATCAATTGATAATGTTGATAATATTTGGTACAAAACTTAAGTAAGAAAATATATGAAGAACAAATCAATAAATCTAAATCAACTGATATAGCCTTAGGTAAAAATAGACAGTAGACTTTTTATTATATTCCAATAGGCTAAAAAGCCCATTAAGACATAAACATGTACATTTTTTTTTTGATTGGGTTTTAAGTCACATCGACACTAAGGAACAGTGTATTGTCCAACAATATTGACCTGGCACTTCATTAACTTTCGTAAAGGTCATTTGAATAAACATTGACCAGTATCTATCGAATATATCAATATATTTGCTAACTTCACTCGTCATTGAGGTGTGGTGTATTGGTATAGATGTCAGACTACCGATCTGAACGTCTGAGGTTCGAATCCTTACCAACATCACGTTATGATTTTTTTTATTTACTTGCAAGAATCAATTTGAAATCGTTTTACTGCAGCTGGTTTAAGAATACCCTTTAAAGGGTGTTTTTATACACAGCTATATTTTGTTATTTCATTACAGAATCATTCAACAGAATTCTTTGTGGCAGTACACATAACAAAACGGTTTGCAATAGTTTTTCGAGAATAGGAGTTTAAAAATTAAAATAAAAAAGAAATCGATGAAATAGGATTCGAACCTACCAGTTTACGTCTACATTCTTCTAGTAAAACCCCTTTACCAACTGCGCTAAGAGTGATCTTCAATTTTCACCATTGTAACAATTGGATCGATTTAAAAGTAGATCGTAGCGGTTACGGAATATACCGATTGCTAGGTCATATGCAAGAGTGCCAGGTCAATGTTGTTGGACAATAAGACATATACATTTATACATAATATAAACAATCATGAAAAAGTTTGGAGAAGATCACTTTTGATAAAGTAAATACCAGCCGAATTGTTTCTTAAGTAGTTACATAATGAACACTTTTATATAAACTTGATCTTTGAACCACTAACTTATAGGTTTCTTATATATACATATACACATACATACTCATATATATGTACATAAATACAAAAACATACATAACATGGAACATTAATGCAAAGGTGATGAATATTAATTGATTTTAAATACACAAACGCAATTGCCATATGTTTAAACATATATCCTAAAAAATTGAAGGTCCCTTTGCATCTGTTGTGGATTTCATAATTGAAATAAATCTTTATCATTTGGATCATCTTTTGAACTTCGATATTCCAATTTCAAAAGTGCTTTGACTATTCATATTAAGTTTAGTTGCAAAGAGACCTTTGAGCTGACTTAATTGCCAACCCTAATCATATAAACATGACATTTATACCAATAGACACATAATATATATATAATTATGTACAACAACATATTAATCTTCTCCATAGTTATAGTTGTCGAAATATCTTGTCGAAACGAAAGTGCAAGACTAAAATATTTCTTCAATTTGAAAAAGAATGACTCCCATCGAGTCATATTCTCCCTTATCAAATATACAAGATAATTATTGGATACAATAAACATCATATATCTTAACATGAATTTATTTATCTATCAAAAGCTTTACTGATTGTGTTTTGATGTTTACATATATGATTGTACTTTTGTTATTATTTCAACTTGTTATGGATTTCAATTATCGTTGAAAATAAAAGCGCATTATCGATTATACATAATGATATCTATCAATGCCATATATATTTCCCTTTATCTGTTTCATTAACAAACGGTTTTATTAAATTACATATTTGTTTTTTGAATTATAAAAGATGTCAAACTTAGACATTGAAAAAATGTAATGGTGACTAGTTTTTGCTTTTTAAGTTTATGATTGTATAATGGGAAAGATAAGCTGGTTGTCAAATGTGAAAAACTGATTATGATTTTGTAAAAAAAAAAAAGTTATATTATGTTTTAAACAACGGAGCAATAATAGTTTTGTTCAAGCATGTACATAAGGAAAGCAGTCTATAAGAAGTATCTAATCATGTTGAAAGTCATTTTGAGTATGCAAAAAACCTGGATATTTTGCCTTTCACATTTGACAACCAGCTTATCTTTCCCATTATACAATCATAACAGTAAAACATAAAAGTCGGTGCTCTTTTCATAAAATGCTGAACCGTTTACCTACTGTGATTTCAATTCACTTACAAATAATTGAATTGTGCATCATTAACAAATTCCTTAAAAAATTTGTGCCAACAGGTAAATTTTAAACTTATATTGATTTTAATAACCATATTCTAGCAGTGTGTTGTTTAACTTGAAACAGCATGTTCATACCAACTTAGATAATGTTACAAAATTCTAATAGATCATTCAACCTTCTGTATATAAAAAAAGCCTGAATAGTATTTATATATTTCAAATTATTTCACATTCAGCACGTTTTTTGATAATAAACTGAACTGTTCTAAATACATTACAACTACATTTCCTATAAAAGAATAAGAGACTATTCATTTCTGAAGCTCAATGCTCCTTTAATACTGAAACTTCAGCAGGTTTATAATTAAAAAGCAAAAAATAGCCACCATAACATTTTTTCATAGTCTAAGTTTGGCATCTTTTATAATTCAGAAATGAGAAATTAAGTAAACCGTTTGTTAATGAAACAGATAAAGTGAAATATAAATGGCATTGATAGACATCATTATGTATAATCGATAATGCGCTTTTATTTTCAACGATATTTGAAATCCATCACAAGTTGAAATTATAATAAAAGTACAAATCATATATGTAAACATCAAAGCAAAATCAGTACAGCGTTTGATATATACATATAACACAGTTATTATTGAAAGATATGCAAACTTTATGGAAATTTTGAGCCACATAATCATACCTACTCAGCTAACAGTAGCTTTTGTGTAATTCAAGTGCTTTAAAGTCAGTAATCCAAAAGTAACGATGTCATTAAGGTAAAAACAAATATTATGCTGATTTCGTCCGACATACAGATACATGCACAAAAATGTATTCAGATACAACAACTACTAAGTTTCTTCAGACAAACAAGCCTGTTTCCTTGTTTCTTTTAAATGATTCGGACATTTTACTGTTAAGGCTAGGGAATTCTCGGCTACCAAAGCGGTTTATAACTAGCTAAAATGCAAATCCTTTTAAATGACTACATGCAGTTATTTAAACAATTATTAACTTACATATTTCATTCATATTGTACACTTTTTCATCTATGAAATTAATCTCCCTTGTACCAGTTAGGATTCGAATGTCGGCATGGACTTAAGTTCCTCATTTGACAACAGGTATTCGCACTGCCTATGATCGTTTTGTGGTTCTCAGGCTCGTACGCATTGACACTGGTGTCTAACTCCACCAGTAATAAGTGCTACATCTAGCTATCGATATCTTTGTCAAGTAACAAGCATACTTTACAACTCTTTATAAAGTTTTGGTTTCGTTTAAAGGGACTCCACTGAGTTTTTTTTACATGATGGTACTGAAAATATTTTTTCCAGATAAATGAACTAATTAATGTAGGGATACACCACTAATCTTTGTGCAAAATTTCGGATCATTCGCGCACTTCGTTTTTCCAAAATAATGTTTCAAATTGTAAAAAAATGACCAGAAATGAAATGGGTTTTATTAAATCGGGCTAAGAAAAGCATAAAAATACGATTTTCAATTTATTTCAAAGTATATTTCTTAATTATCTTTGCATATTTCTGTTTAAAGTGACCCAGCTCATTTATGTAAGAAATTCAAAGGTTATGTTTTAGGCTTTTAAACCTCAGTGGAGTCCCTTTAATAACCGTTAAATTGACATTATGCTCATTTTTTCACTGTCAAGTTGAGTTGAATAAGTGATAAATTATTATTTCAAAAGATTGACTTTTAAAAGGAAGGATGATTGACTAACAATGGATAAAGAAAAAATGAAATATATGATTCAATATATAGACGCTCTAAAATATAAAAAAGACTGCCCCACTCGTTTAAAGAATTGAACATTTCAGATACATTCTAAAAGATATGTATAAGCATTTCCGTTGGTTACGTGGTTTATTGATTATTTTTGCTCAGTAAAATCTAAAATTGAACCAATTATGACAAAATGTCATGTTATGATGATTTTTACCTGTTCGCAGACCATTTACCATTGGATGGGCATAATGTCACTTTAAGTAAATATTAAACATCTGCCATAATTTGTTAGTTCCCGTATATAACAAGCTCAAAAATAGCGTCGTGATGATAAAACAAATGACAAAAATGATTCATGAAGTCAGCTTATTTTCATAACTTTTCTTATAAGTACTATAAAATGAAGGCAAAACAACTTTCAGATTCCGGTACCTTTATAACAATGACTAAAACATGACTTTCTTCTATCACTAAAAAAACGATTATCTCAAAGTGTATTACTTTCGGATTTAGGTATTTTTTGGAAAAGCCTTAAGTTATGTTTAAGACAAGGCTCAATGTTTCCTGGACAGTTATTGCGCCAATTTTAAAGGCAGTTATAAAAGGTACTACCACGGGTGTATTCAATATTAAAGAAGAAGATAGTGAAAAACGTTACATATACCAACAGTTTTAACAGACAATAACAAACACTGTGTTTGAAAAAATAAGAATATAGCAGTGAGTGATATATATTATATTCGTTAATGTAATAATAACATCAATACAAATGAAAGTCCTTGCATTTTTGCACTTTTGAATTTTAAATTTATATGCATGTATAGGGTGATGATACAAATGACTTTCTTAAAACCAGTTTCCAACTTGTAATGATGAAATAAAAACTTAAAAAAAGTAGATAATATACCAATAGATACATGAAATACAAACTAAAATATGAATTCAGCATTTCATATATCAAAAGCAAATTAATGACAATTTTTTGAAAAAAAAAGTGATATAACGAAACATAAACCAGTTTCAACTGATGTAAGTTTTTGAAAATGTAAATAATATCCGGTACCACGGGGGAAGAAAAACACCGTTCGTTACCCAAACAAACAAAATGGCGGGTGTAGCCAAAAGGTAGGGTTTTCCCTTTTTTCTCTGAAATTCGTGATGTTCCTATGTAAAGGTACATATAATAAATATAATATAATAAATATTTACAGCGGTAAAACAGCTAGAATGGACATGGATGCCTACTTGACAACATATTACAAGTTTTTAAAGTCAGTGGTTTCAGTTAATATGCATATATGTAAAAGAAACAGTGAATTTGAGAGAAGAAGCCGTACGTTATCACGATCAAACCGGTGGAAAATTCTCTCGCTTCGAATCTGGTGACGCGCATTTCAGATGAAGTACGGGACGAAACATCATGAAATAAAATCATGTGTGCCAGGAAAATTGTGGAGAAGGTTATTATAGGTATCTTTACACAGGAACATCACGAATTTCAGAGAAAAAAGGGAAAACCCTACTTTTTGGCTGCTTCCGCCATTTTGTTTGTTTGGGTAACGAACGGCGTGATTTTCCCCTTTGGGTACAAAACACAAGAAAATATACGAAGAACAAGAATCTAAAACTTATATAGCCCTGGGTAAAATGTATCTGAATTTGAAAAAAAAGATGATTGAGTAGAATCCAGTCATATTCTCTCTTTAACGAAATATAAAAGATAAATATTGAATAACATAACATAACATAACATAACATAAGGACACATAGAACTTTTCTTCTATGTCAATGATGTCACAATATAATTATATACGTTTCCTTTTATTTCTTGGAATTGGATTGACTGAGTGTCTTCCTTCCGTTCACTCGTATGAACGTATTATTTTTATGATAACGCATCTGTACTTAAAGTTATTCAAATAATACATATATTGACATTTCACACATTTCTTATAAACTGAAAGCTTCAACATGTCTCCTTCTGTATACTTTAAAAGAGCCCGAGTATCAATTTTAACAGAATATGGAATTATCAAGACTCCGTTACATCAATTTTCGTTTAACAAGTCTATCACATGTTATCAATTCCATTGTTAGAACTGTTAGTTTAATGCCAACGGCCGTGATAGTATTGTATTTAAAATGCAATTTTCTATTTTTCAGCACAGTATCAGAAAATACATATATTTTATCACTACGATTTAAATTTATTTATCAGTGGAAATCGATCTGATTCTCCCCAGACGTAAGTTGCTTATTGAGTAAAAAGTCAAGACAAGATTTCACAATTTTATTCATGGAACGTAATATTTGTTATAGCATGCCGTAGACTCCATGTTTAATAATTTTCACCTATTAGTGTATGGTATTGTACTTTGATTTAAAACCAAATTCCGCGTCCGTGATGATGTCATTTAATTCTGACTAATAAATGAAGAAATGAAAGAATGAATGCATAACCTAACAATTGTAATTATTGACTTTAGTGATTACTACTATTATTTTTCACTTTAGCATTATATAAATAGTGCATCTGGAAAAATCGACGTTTAATATATAGTATAGTCAGAACAGAACATATGTTCCAATGGTAGATCATCGTAACATATTTACAAAAAATGATACATTTTAAGTAAGTATCGAATCGCAATGACACATACATTAACACATTTACATTTAATACAAATACATGCTATTTTGAACATACAATATACACCATTTTCAATTCTATGAGGATGGACATAAATACATATATATATGTAGCGTCATAGCAAGAACTAGTGCTAAATTTAAATTTGTTGGAATTGTTCTTTTATCACTTTTAAAACATGCTTGGTTTAACATAATACTACTTTTTATGTACATTTTGCTTAAATCAACATAACATGGGCAAATCAAATGAAATGATATTCGTCTTCAATGACGTGCTCATCACAGTTTATACAATGACGTTGATTTCACCCGATTTTCTGTGTACCGACCTGTTTGAATTTTCAAAAGATGAGAAGACAACCTTGTGTTAAATAACATCTTAAATTAAAAGGCAAAATATCCAAGTTCTTTGCATCATCAAAATCACGTTTAACATGATTAGATACTTTTGATACGAGAACCTGAAATATGTTCTAAATAAATTAATACAGCTTTAACTTATCTGCATTTTTTTATATAAGAATAGAATATTCATTTGCTTATTGCTCCTTTAATAGGGAACTGTCAGCAGGTTATAATTAGAAAGCGAAAAAAAAACAACCCAAAAAACAATTACACTTTGATTGCCTTTTCAAGGTTTTAGTCTGTCATCTTTCATAATTCAAAAATGAGGAAATCAGTACGCCCTTTTTCTAATGCTTGTCCGACGTAAAGCCTATCTGACCTATTACTGACAAGGAGTGACTGTGGTGCATATCCGTCATCTCTTGTCAGAAGTTCATCCCATTTCCCTTCTCTTGAAACCACACGCAAGCATCTTAATCCACATACATAGACTGACTGATTTTGGTCAGCAGCTGTACCAAATGGTCCTTGCATACTGTCATCCATATATGGAAAATATCTTAAGATATTGCCAGACATATCACACGACTGTATGCAGTGCTTTGAACGAGAAGCGAAAATGATTTGATCATCATTTGTAAGGTTTATATTTTCAATGTAGTTACCGGTTACAATTACAATGGTTCTCACTAAATCCCCATTTAGCGACCAACACTGAATGCTAGCATTTCTATTTTCTCTGACAATCACTATCATCACATTTTCCGACTTATGATATCTGATTCCAGTAGGACACTTCAAGGTTATAGATGAACGCTTACTAACAGAAATATTTTCACCGATTGTCAAAAATGATATCCTGTCATCAAATGGACAAGTAATTGCTATTTCACCATTTGGCATATCATAACTGATAAATGTGATTCCCCAAGGTATCCATTCAAGCTGGTGATATATCAGTGAATATTCATCGGAAATAATAATCAGTCTTTGGTTTGGAACATCTACAAGTATCACTGGAAATGTTTCATTTGAGGGTGTTGCTATATCTGTTATGCAGCACGACTGCTTCCCCCCTGCTATATTTAACCTTTTAAGAAGCTTAAGTTCACGTCTACCTATTTCCCCTTGATGTTTCTCGACAACCAAGTTTCCCGAATCAAGCAATGGGTACTGTGATTTATAAGAAACACGTAAACGCGGAAGACCGAAAACTCCCTTGAGATCTCTGTTGATGTTGTCCACTTCGCACTCTACTTCGGTCATTGATATGTATCTCTCAATTTTTGATAAATTGGTATCACTTATTAAGTCTTTTTTCTGAAACCGTAAAAAAATTATATAAGTTCTCAAAATCATAATCAAAAATAGACAATTTATTATATACTTATAATTGAAATATTTAGGAATATTCATGAAATAAAATGCGTGTTTTTAATTCATTGTAATTTCCGTATTTCTACCTTAAAATGTATTTTTTCAATGCAGTGCACTGCACATATTTTCCGATTTAAGGGGTACTTTGCCGCTTTTTCAATTAAATTTTCACCCAAAAAACAAAAATTTTAAAAATTTTTTCGATTTAAAAAAAAAATTCAAGGTTTTGTTTTCTTTCATCTGTGAAAAAATTATCATTTTTTTCCACTTTTGGTCCCCCTTATTTTTTAAAATATTTATTTTCATACCACTCAATGAAAATAAATCCTTTATTAATAGATAAAATATTAATGAATTATTTGCAATCTTTCAAAAATATGTCCATACAAATTTTAGTCAATAAATATGAAACCAATGAACGGAAAGTTTAAAGAGTTAATTGCCTATTTTGATAAATAATGTTCCTACAACATCATCTCCTTTTGTACATACATATTCCGTTTTAAACCTTATAAATTAAATGATGGAAACACCTTATAATACTAAATATTATTAACAAAAATAAGTGCGACAAATTTTGCACTCTTTTACTCAGTCAGCATTTTATGATTTCAATGGTTAAAAATATAACAATCACTTATCTTGAAGAAAACGACCCAAGTCATATTCAAGTAATATTGGAACCGTATCACGCTCATATGGAGATTGTTTGTCATGAAAACCTGAAAGCAACAATATATGAAAGATTCCTTATATAATTACATATTTATCATACCTTTTTAAGTTTCTGACATATATCGAGCATCTCCGTCTGCCTTATCTTGCTTCCTTCTCGAAAGCTATAAACCTCATTGTTTAAGCGTTTTTCTGTTTCGTCAAAATATTTGTTAACATGCTCTCTATCTAAACGGATTTGTGACAAAACCTCCTCATACGATACGTCATCTCCTTCGTTTGCATTTGTTTCTTGCTTTAGTATATACGCCGCTTTATCTTCTACATATTTGATTTTTGAAACAATGCGTTTACTTTCAGAATCATAAATATCCTTAATGTTGTACAGCTCATCACATTGTCTATGCTCTTTTAAAGCACATTCGCTACATACAATTATTTCATGACTTTTGCATTGATATTTTAGATCCTCTGAAGGGTGAACAGAACATTTTGTATTGAATATCCTTCTTCTCATAGGAACTGGTGGGGGAGATTTCTTTGTCTTGCATTTATCATTATTTTCACCTTGCTGCAGAACCTGGTCATCTGAAACCTTATGTTTATCTGAGTCTTGAGGCGTGGGGGCTCCGTCTTTTGACATAATGGTCTTGTAATCAACAAGAACATGGTCTTTAAAAGGCTTTGGTCGACGATGATATTTGTAGCAAGCATCACACAAATATTCTCCACATGTTTTGCAATATCCGTAAGCTTCACGAAGAACATTTTCGTCTTGGCAGGGTTGGCATTTTCGCTTGACCTTATCATCACTGCTCTCCTTACGTCCTGGCACCTCCATATCAAATGTTTTAACCTTAAAAAAAGTTAAAAACATGATGTAATTACAATTCAAATTTAAAGTATGTTTGTCGTTTGTTTCATTTTGATCTATAATATTGTTTAATTTTGATCTTGTATATAACACTCTCACTACATGTTCGTTCGTATCTAATGATATTTTCGATCATTATTCACTATACTTTGAAGGTTTATTCAGACAATCGTGACAAGCGTCATAACAACTGCCTGATACACATGATGTAAAAATGCAAAGTTTAATATTTTGATTATGACAAGAATTCATTCCGGTAAACCAAACTTCTAACATTGGTTACTATCCTTGACGCCGAAGACTGAGCAGTTACTTCTCAGGATGTTGAAAAATGAGAGGGGTGGGGGAATCAATGCATGGAGATTGCCGGTATGTAGCCTATAATGATGACAAAGATTTGAAAGTTTATAACGTCCATGAAACAACAGTTAGGACACAGCTTGAAACTGTACAGTGCATAGGCAATGAATGAAATCGATGTTTTTCCTGTTTATACCAACACTCATTAATATAAAATTAATGATAACTTAAGAATTTGGAGGCTGCAGCTCGAAGTTTGTAAAATATATACTCAATAGAAAAAGAACAGCCATAGTATTGAACTCGAATTAAATAAAATAAATAGACAGATTATCCCTTTTTAGCAATTAATGCATAAATCTTAACATCGTACCAACTTAAGTAAAACAGAGCCACCGCCAGATTGGGGCAACGCTCGTCTTTTTCTAAAAACAAACAAATAAACGATTAAAAAATTAGAAAGAAAATTTAAAGAAAGACTCCTTTTTATTTAAATATGTCACTTGTGTTGTTTTGTCCAGGTTTGAATCATTTCAATAAATAGATGACAAAGTTTAGAATCAAAATTCAATCATTTAACAATGTCATGTAAAGGTCAAGGTCATATCTAAATATTATGTGCCCTTTTGGTCACACGTGTTGTTTTGTTTTATATGAATAAAATATGTACATAAATATTTTTTTTATAACAACTTAAACAAAATTAAATAATTTGACATTGACGGACAAAATTAACACAAAATGTTTACAAAAAACAATTCTTTGAAATTTTCAAATGACAAGGGGAACGAAACCCGGCGCACAATTAATAACGTTCATGAAGTCGGTCACTAAATACAAAATATGACAATTAAGCGTCATCCATCCTGAAAGTATTCTCTCTAGTGCTCTAGGTGTCTGAATAATGTGACCATGATCTTGTCTCTTATGTGCAGATTAACCCTTTCCCCCATGAGCATCTTGTGAAAAATGGCCATTTTCACTAAAAAGCCTCCTCTTACAAGTTCAAACTGCTATGAAACTATGAAAAATGCTTCAATACTAATCAAACTTGGCACAAATGTTGACTGGACCATTGCCTTTGTAACGACATGCTCAGTCATAAATTTCCTGTTACCATGGCAACGAGGGGACATCTCAAAATTGCCAAAAATCACTTTTTGCCTCGATTTTTTCCATCAAAATTTACTTCAAAGTGCTGCAACTTCTCAAGGGATTGAGATAGAGTCAAAGGCTTTTCAGCGTTGGTTACACGTTACCTTATGATCAACCTGGGGTCATTTTAAGCCTCTCACAAGTCCAAAATTTTCTTGGCGTCACTTTTTTTAACAACATTTCTCAAACGAAAAACAGTGTTTGGGGTCTATAGAGGACATTTTTTCACTGTTTTAGGCCTCAAAAGGGGGGGGGGGGCAAAAAGCCGTCGAAACACGCTTATATAAGGGAAAAGGTTAACAAAAAATGATGAAAAACCTTGGAATCATCCAAAATCTAGTTTTTCCATGTTAACATGTGGTCTTTTACTTAATTTTGGTGAAAAATTGTTGTTTTGTAACATTTATAATTTTTTTAGTTAACCCTTTCCCCCATGAGCATATTGTGAAAAATGGCCATTTTCACTAAAAAGCCTCCTCTTACAAGTTCAAACTGCTATGAAACTATGAAAAATGCTTCAATACTAATAAAACTTGGCACAAATGTTGACTGGACCATTGCCTTTGTAACGACATGCTCAGTCTTAAATTTCCTGTTACCATGGCAACGAGGGGACATCTCAAAATTGCCAAAAATCACTTTTTGCCTCGATTTTTTCCATCAAAATTTACTTCAAAGTGCTGCAACTTCTCAAGGGATTGAGATAGAGTCAAAGGCTTTTCAGCGTTGGTTACACGTTACCTTATGATCAACCTGGGGTCATTTTAAGCCTCTCACAAGTCCAAAATTTTCTTGGCGATGAGGGGGACTCCGACCCCCTTCAAACCCCCCAAACAGAAGGGGGCACATCCCCCTTCTGGCAACCCCCTGATGTATTATTTGGATGGGGGACGGCGCCGAAAAAATGGTTACTTTTTTAACAACATTTCTCAAACGCAAAACAGTGTTTGGGGTCTATATAGGACATTTTTTCACTCACTGTCTGTTTAATGCCTCAAAAAGGGGGGGGGGGCAAAAAGCCGTCGAAACACGCTTATATAAGGGAAAAGGTTAAGCGAGAAAGAAAGCGATCACAATTTCGTTCAACTCTCCAAGAAAAAATGCCCGATAGCTTGCCATTCTCCACTTTTCTCGAATATTTTGAGTACACTGGGAACTCAACAAGCAAGGACTTAATATGCTAATGCAAAAGCGATTTACATTTTTAATTTCCACATGTCATCGTAAGTTTATAAAACAATTTGATTATATACAGTAAAATAATATTTATCAATTGAAAAGTATCATTTATTAAAACAAAATTGGGCGGAAATACTACTAATCATTACCGTTAATCATTATTATATACTTGTGAAAACCAAGTATATCTAATGAGATACAATAAAATAGTGTTTGATAGAAACTTCTTATATACAATCCTTTGGTGAGAACCGAATAAGTAGACCCGAAGCAGACATTAAAAGTGTGGGACAGTCCGCGTACCGTTTACCGTCAATCCATTTACAGTGCTTTTGCAATTTACGCCACAAACGTCCCGTCAATTTTCCGCTTTCATCCTTACGCTTTCCTGTTAAAGATTTTGGATTCGCCTTTTTAAATTGATTGTACCAGCTAAAAACGAGTGTCCTGATGGCAGGATAATTTTCCTTTCTTAATTTTATCATTTTGTATGTATCACGTATCCCTATACATATGAAAATATTCTAAATTGGATGAAATATGAATATGCAAGATTTTCAGTCATATAACTTTTTGAACAACCCTCGTATTTCTTTAATAATATTTTTCAATTTAGCATTAACTATTTCTGAAAAATATACGATTTAAAATCATACATGGTATAAACCATAATGTCCTTGTAATGTGCTTAAAGTATTTCATAAACTTCCCTGAAAAGCTAACATCTCTCTTGCTAGAGGTCATGAACTAAACCCATTTAATAAAGATTCCTGAAAAGCAAACAAGTCATGTCCTAAAAGTCTTACTCCAACTATTGCTATTGAATCTTTATTAGAAAAGATTAATAACATGTTCTAATGTTCGCATGTATGGAAATGATTGCAATATGAGTTGATTCCCTTTCATAATTATATGCCCGAAAGAATTTCGGGCATATTATGTTATACCTCCTGGCGTCCGTCCGTCCGTTGTCCGTCCGTCTGTCTGTCCGTTCTTACCAGAGCTACATTATGGGGTTTGGTCTATTGTTCTCATAACAATAGATGTCTTTGATGTCATTCATTCCGTTTCTTTTGTGGGGTTATTTTCTGCATTGTGGGGTTATAAAGAACAAAAGAAATAACAAAAGAAAACCCCAAAATGTAGCACTGGTAAGAACGTCCGTCCGTCCGTTAGCAATTTGGTTTCCGGAGCATAACTTAAGTTCTATTTAGCCCACAGTGTTCAAACTTCATAGCATGGTTGTCCATATTGGGTTAAAGACCCCTATTGATTTTGGGGTCACAAGGTCAAAGGTCAAGGTCACTATGACCTTAAAACTAAAAACAGTTTCCGGAGCATAACTTTAGTCCCATTGGCCCACAGTGTTCAAACTTCATAGGATGATTGTCTATATTGGGTAGAAGATTCCTATTGATTTTCGGGTCACAAGGTCAAAGGTTAAGGTCACTTTTACTTTGAAATTGAAAATAGTTTCTTGAGCATTACTTAAGTTCCATTTGGCCCACAATATTCAAACTTCATAGGATGATTGACCATATTGGGTAGAAGACCCCTATTGATTTTGGGGTCACAAGGTCAAGGTCACTATTACCTTAAAACTGAAAACATTTTTCGGAACATAACTTAAGTTTCATTTGGCCAGCAGTGTTCAAACTTCATAGGATGATTTTCCATACTGGGTAGAAGACCCCTATTGATTCTTTGGTCACAAGGTCAAATGTTAATGTCAATATTACCTTAAAACTGAAAACAGTTTCCAGGGCATAATTTAAGTTCCATTTGGACCACAATATTCAAACTTCATAGGAGGATTGTTATTTGAAGGAGGTAATACCCAGATAGCAGACAGAAGTTGGCCCAACGTTGGGTCAATTACATTTGCTTTGTTGGCCCAACACATAATGCCAACGTTGGCCCAATGTCAATTTGCTAATTGGGGCAACGTTGGGCCAACGGTTGGTATATGGTTGGCCCAACGACTGCTTTCCTACTCTTATCGTTGGCCCTCCATTGACCCAATGACTGGTTTTCCTTCCTATCGTTGGCCCTCTGTTGGCCCAACAACTGGTTTCCCTTCTTCTTGTTGGCCCCCCGTTGTCCCACTGACTGATTTCCTACAATAAACATTGGCCCTTCGTTGGCCCAATGCCTTGTTTTCATAAAAGAACATAATATATACTAATTACTACAATTTATTACTAAATGTTGTTCACATAGCATTTTCATTTTCTTCTCTTTGTTGTTGCAACTTTTTAGTCAATCTCTTCCTCCGCCCGCCTTCCCTATCCTTGGCATATCTTAGGCACTCCTTCATTGTCTTCTCGATTTCATTATTAGTAGAC